AGGACAACAGCAACACCTTGGCTGTAGTCTGTCAGAGCTGCAGGGGAATGGGCTGTTTCCTACGGCTCCTGTCCCAACATGTCATTGTGTCCCTCCCCCATGGGGATTCTTGGCTGATTTCCCCAAAGGGAATTTCAGCAGAAGTCAGAGAGTGGGTGAGGAGAAACGTCATGGATATTCCCCAAAGGGAACTGAAACCCCTGTGTCATGCAGGGTAAGCTGGGTGGACAGCACCTTGCCCTCTTCACTGCCCTTGGGGATGCATCAGAGATGGCCTTGGGGGCTCTCTCCAGGGATTTGCACAATGGACAAATGTCGTTTGGGGGCAAGTACTGGCTGCTGCTTTGCCAGGCTGCTGCAGCCACTCAACGCGTTCTCTGTGGGAGTGCCACTACCCCAGGGACGCCGTCCAGCCCAGCCTCAGCAGCCAGGTGTGATTTATGCCTGCGTCCCTGCCTACCCAGCACTCCCTAGGGATGCAGCACCAGCCCTGTGCGGGGAAGTAATGCCATCCCCTTTTGGCAGGACCCAAGAGCCAGCTGGCCAGGCCGGGGAGAGGAAGGTGCTTGAGGCAAAAGGGGAACAGCATGGGGAAGAGGATGGGGGTTGGGAGATGGGGGCATGTGCACCCTGCAGCAGATGGCTGCCTACCAAGTTGCAACAGGAGATGGGAGCATTTCTGCAAGCCCTGCTGAACCTCCGGGCATCAGCTATCCCTATCTGGGAGGCAAAGGTAGGTGTGCCAAAGCCCAGGGTTACAGCTACACACCCTCCCCGGGCAGAATGCCCAAGGGTGCACTGGGTCATGGCAAGGAGACAGGCCCTGTGGTGATGCTTGTCCCAGCTCAGGGTGCTCTGCAGCCTGTGGGTGGCAGGCTGAGCATTACAGCGATCGCTTCCAGCTGGCTCCACGTCCATGGGGCGCTGTCATGGGATAGCTTCCAGTGGCTAGGCAGTGGAGGACTGGGGGCAGCTATTTTGGGCAGCCCAAGACACCTCAGCTGTCATGCTCTCTGCAGCATAGTGCACTGGGCAGGGACCTGGGTGCTGCCCTCAGAGAGGAGGACATGCTTCTCACAAAGGACACAGCACCTTGTTGCCCCCCATGCCTAGGGGAGAGCCACATTCCAGGGATGAGGCATCCCAGTCCAGAGCTGACCTGGGTGATGCTGAACCCATCCAGACGACTCTGTGCCTCCCAGACAGGTGCCACCAGGGCAGAGGGGGGCACAACAGCCTCAGGACCTGAAGCCAAAGTAGGAGCTCCCAGCAGTGAAGTCCTTGTCTGTATCCAGGACTGTCCTCACCAGCCACATGTAACCATGGTGTTAAACACAAGCTCTGTGTTGTGAGCTGGGTGCTGTGTGTGCTGCCAAAGCTGCAGGAGGGCACAATGGGGCAGTGTAGGGGCCCAGCTTCAACCCCTGTGGCTGCTGTCCCCTGGGCATCCACACCCATCTTGCTGTTCAGCCAAGCCAGAGTTTCTCCCAGGCTGTCTGGATACTCCGTGAGGGAATTTTCCCAGGTCATTAGCAGGCACGCAGGCACGGGAGTGGAAAGTCCCCAGGAGCTGCGGCTGCTGGGGATGCAGCTCTCTGTGTACCACAAGCAATGATGCCTGTGGCATTTCCTCCCGATGTCACTTGCCTGTGCTGGCACTTGCCCAGGCTGTGGGCACTCAGTGGAAGCCTACAGAGGGTGTGAGTTGCTAGTAAAGCCTGGGGGAGGGCTGGGGGAAGCGCAGCAGGAACAGGGGTCCCAGGATGCAGAGGGATGCCAGAGCAGGAGTATGGCACTGCCCTCACAGCATTGCCAATATGCCAGATCTATGCTGGGGAACAAGGCAGCTCTCACTAGATGGCTTCAAATTGCTGGAAAATCAGGGACAACTTGGGGGGTTTTCCAAGAGTTTTAATACTATCAAAGTGCTTTGGGGCAGGAGATGACATGCTGCCATAGAACAGTTCAGTTCCCCATGTGTCAGGCAGGATGAAGATGACATGCCAGAGAGAAAAGAAAGATGGGAAAGCTGGGAGGACAAAACGCGCGCTGGTGGCTCTTCTGTGGCATTTCTGCTGCTCATCTTGCAGCATCCTTCCTGATAAGACAGGGCCAGCTGTGAAATCCTCAGAGTGGGCACAGCCAGCCTGTGTAGGGACTTCTATCCCCATTCCTCCCATCCTGAAGGCAGAGGTTGTTCCCCAGCAGCTCCTACCCCAGGATACACACAAGTACTGGAGCTGTCATTCCAGGAGGGGTGGCTAAGGAGCCCCCAGTCCTGGATGCAGCATCCCACTGCAGGGAGACCTCAAGGTCAGATCCAGACCCTGCAGTCCTGGGGCTCATGGTGCTTAGGAAGTGCTTGGGACACAACCCCAGGATCTGTCTGGGGAGGTGGAGAGCCAACCTCCATGTCAGGCACACAGCAGGGACAGCATTAAGTCCTGCTGCATTTCATGCACGCCTGATCTCAAGGACAAGCCCTGGACCACGTCAGGGCTTCAGCCACTTGGGGATTATCACAAGCCCGTGCTGCAAGCCTGGTGCACGAGAAATCTTCAGATACTGCTGGTATTACTGCTGGTATTACAGCAACCAGCCCATCCCTCTCGAAGGTGCTGGGAGCTGGCATTTCCTCCCCACCCTTCACCCCTCTGGATCCCTGCCCACATTTCCCCATGGTTTCCCAGACAACAGCGCCCGTGGAGATAGGAGGGGAGAGGCTGTGCTGCCTAGGCAGGGGTGCCACCCACGTGTTGACCCATGTCCCCCACAGAGATGGCACTGATGCCAAGAGGTCGCTGGACCTGCCCACAGAGGCAGAAGCTTCCAGCCTCACAGATTTGAATGGCACTGGGGTAGGGGTGCTGTGGCCCCACCAGCATGCAAGGATTTGGGGGACATTGTGACACCTGCCAGCCTGGGGGAGGGATAGCAAGGAAGGAAAGAGACGAGTGCTCCAAAATGGGGAATGAGGGGATGATTGCAACCAGATGGGGAGAGAGGGCTGAAGAGAGCACAAGTACGGGCTGGAGCACCTCTCCTAAACCCATTTGGGATTGCAGCCTCCCACCTCACAAATCACATTTGGCCTCCCTTCCTGCTGTGTCTCGGGGCACCAGGAGAGCCCAGGAAAGTTCTGACTTGCGTGGTAGGACCATGACCATGGATACACAAAGCAGCTAAGCTCCTGGAAAGAAGGTGTTTACACTCAGGTGTAGGCTGCTAGAAGATGCTGCAACATATCAGAGACTGGAGAGGAGAAGGAGCAGCCCCTTGCTGACCCACTTGGGGCTGCAGGGCACTTCCTCCTCTTTCCCCATGCTGAGCACACAGAGGAGATGCAGAGAAAGTGAGAGAGATCCTAAGAAGGATGTTTGAAAGCGTGAGTTTCATTAATGGAAATCCACCCCTTAAGGATCAAGTCTGCAACTCCACAGCTGGCAGCTCGTCTCCAAAGCTGAGATCCTGGGGCAGGGGTGTAGGTTGCAGCCACATTCTGGCTCTGACACAGGACGCTGGGTGTGGAATGCTGGGTTCAGGAAGCCAGGTGTGGGATGCTGGATTCAGGTTCTGGGTGCAGGATTTGGGCTGCATGGTGGAGTGTGAGAGTGTGAGGCCACACGCAGCTGGGAGCAAGGGTGCTAACGATCAACCTGGCTCCTTGTGCAGAGCAGCCATGCATAGGTGCTGGGACGGTGTGGGAGGACCCGAGCACCCGACAGTTTCACTGCTGTCTTCCCCTTCCTGCTGTGGGAGCCCTCACTCTGGCTTTACCATGCTTAAAAAACGAAAGCAGTGCCGGTGCATAACTGCACTCCCATCCTGCAGCCCAGCTCACTGGTGAGACTGCTGCAGTGAGGCCTGGACAGACACAGCCTGGGGCACCACTCCATTACTGCCTTCACATCTACCCTATCCCTGCAGAGGATTTCCCTAACCAGACAGCAACCCTCAGGGACAGCAGGGATCTGTGGAGAGCCTGGTAAGAGGTGCTTCCCGAGTTGGTTGGAACAGGGAGGTCAGCCCTGGGATGGTGTGCAGGGCTGTGGAGGCAGAAAGGATTCTCAATGGGATGTGGGAAGGGCTGTGCTGTTGCTGTACTTAGGGTGCTGGGCTGCACCCCTGCCACGGTCTCCAAAACAGCTGCTTCCTGAAGATGCAAGGTGCAGTGCCAAGGCCTCAAGGTGCAGGAACTGGAAGGGATTCAAGGAGCAGGGCAGGGTGCTGGAGAACAGGCACACATCCCAGCACGTGGGAAGCCCATCGGGATGGAGAGGGAAGGGAAGAGAGGCCTCGGCGAGAGGCCAAGCAAGGGGTGGTCCCTGGCTCACTCATCATGCATTACTGGAAACATCTGGCCTGGGATGTGGGGGCGTGTACTGGCTGTACACACATGTGTGCACGGGCACATGGATATACATATACACACATATGTATTTATGAGTACTTGTGTAAATACACATGTGTATTTATCAGTATATGTACCCACACCTGTACACGTACCCATATGTGTGTACCTATGTGCCCATACACGTACAGACACACATACACAGGCATGAACGTTTGCACTCCCATGTAGATGCCCCCAGATATGTGCATGCATACAGATGCAAACATGTACAACTACATGTGTACACACCCCTAACCACATAGGGATAAATGTACAGATTTGCATGCATACGTGTTTGTGTACATGTGCCAGCAAGCACAATTGCTGCAGCATGCACATGCATGGACACACAGGTGTGTGACACACGTGTGCAACAGACATCCACACGACGCTCATATGCACAACAGACAGAGCGACTTCATGCATCTTGGCCAGAGCTTGCGGCCATGCCGCTGCCTGGGATTGCCATGGCACTGTGCCCTGGCAGTGTGTGCACACTGCGTGTGAAGGTTCCTCTGTGTGTGAAAATGTGTGTGCAGGGCTGTGTGTGTGCAGGGATGCATATGTGCCCAGTGGGAGCCTCTGTGTGACCATATCCCACGTATGTTCACATGTGCCACATGCCTGTGCAAGCCTGCATATGCCCCTCCACGTCCACATACCTGTGGGCTGCATGTGGGATACCGGGCACGTTCATGCCCAAGTGCGCCAAGTGCAGAGTGTGCCCATGCATGCCCATGCGTGCAGCATGTCCGTGTGTGCCGTGTGTACTCGTGTGCCCACGCGCGTGTGTGTGTGCCACACGTAGCCCGTGTGCCTGCAGTCCCACGTGCGCTCTCGCCCTCCGCGGTGCCCCCGGTGCGGCGAGGCGCGGTGCGGGCGCGGTGCGGGTGCCGAGGCGGGGCGCTGGGGAGCGCGACGAAGCGGGGGGCGGAGCACGGCGGCGGGGGCGAGAGGCGGTGCCAGCCCCCACCGACCTCCAAACTTTCATTAACTCGGCAGCACCGGCGGCGGCGGCGGCTCCGGGCCTGGTGAGCACCGGCACTGACACTGACACTGACACTGACACCGACACCGGGCTGGGCGCGGCGGAGCGGCGCCCCCGCAGGCCCACCCGGCGCGGCGGGAGGGGCCGCGCATCGGCATGGGCACGGTAAGGGGCGCGCACCTCCGCCGGCACCGGGTGCCCGGCCCGTCCAGCAGCTGTAGTAGCGCTGGGAATGGGACGGGAGGAGGAATGGGTGGGCTGCCCAACAGGGATGAGAAGGGGACGAGGGCGGCGAGGGCCTCCGGAGCGGCGGAGTCGGGGACATCGTTAGCAGCACCGGGAGCGGCCAGCCGTCAGGATGGTGTCGGGAGCGGAAGAGCGGGATAGCGGGATGCGGGGCGGTCCCGCATCTGTTGCTCTCGCGGCGCGGTGCCGAGGGAGCGCGGGGGCGCGGCGCACAGAGCGGGACCATTGCCACCGCACCCGGGGAGGGCGCCGGGCACCGGAGCGGCCCGGCTCGGTGACGGGCCGGGGGGGTTGGCGGTAATTTTCCACGGGCATGTGCCGGGGCGGGGCGGCGGAGCAGCCACCACGTGGCGGCTGATGTAACCGGGCCCCCCCCGCCACCGTACTGCACCGGGCGGCGGCGGGGGGAGCCGGGCGGCGGGCGCGTCGCGGCGGGCGCTGCCCGCGGAGCCGCCGCCGGAGCCGCCCCCGCGGGGCGGGAGGGGAGCATGGCGGCGGCGGGCCGGCCTGCTGCCCGCCTTCCGTGGGCACCGGGGAACCCCGGCCTCGGTTGCGGTGGGCCCGGCGGATGCTGGCGGAAGAAATGGCCTCGCAGGTGGCAGCGGCTGCACCGGTGCATCGGGCCGCCCTCCCGCCGGGCGTCAAGGAACAGGGGCTCTATCCTTCGGTCGGGCATCCCTGGCCTTCCGCTGGGTGCCGTGTGCTGCCTCCCCGTGCCGAGGTGTGATATCCTGTCCGGGAGCCTCTGTAGGTGCCCAGGCATCTCCGTTTCCACGATGCTTGCCACCCGTGCCGGCTCTAGGTACGAGCTGTGCTGCCCTCTGGTCTATCATGGCATCCCGCAACTCTGGGAGAGCCACACCGTGGCACCAGTGTTTTGCATCCTTGTCCCTGCTGAGCTGTCCAAGGAGACGCTGCAGCCTCGGGCATCCTTGCATCCGTCCCGTTGCCACACCACCGCTGGCTTCGCGCTCGGCGCTTGTCAGGCTGGGAGCCAATGCCAGCGGCATCTACGGTGCTCGTGGAGGCTTATCAGCACCTGGCAGACCCAGAGAGGAGTGGTAGCCGTCCGGCCCCGTGGGCACTCCCACTTCCCAAGGCACGGGATTAGCTCCCGGTGTGAATTCGGGGCCGCGGGGTGGACAGTTTTTGACTGGCTGGTGGTAGGTGTGTGATGGGGAGGAGGCCTGGCTACTGAGCCTGCACCTCCCACCTTTGAGAGGTCCCTGTGCCATTCGAAGAGCCAGGCTTGTGGCAGTGATGACATCTCAGCTCCCCTGGAAATGCAGGCAGTGCTGAAGAGGGCATTGGCAGTGGGGTGCAGTATCTGCGGTATCTGCCGGCAACAGCCTGTCTGCGCTGGAGGGGCTGGGGGCTCACAGCACAGTCCCTGGATTCCTGCCCCTTATCTACACTGCCCATGCTCCTTCCTTATGTCTTAAGGTCTTCTTCTGATTGCTTCAGAGTCATGGCAGCCTGGGGATAAGCCCTGGGGTGTTTGACTGCTGCTGGTGGTGGTTGGGGACCCTCAGTGCAGGTCAGGGGTCCTTCTTCAGCCAGCAAGGGTACTGAGCACTGGTGTAGGATCTGCAAACACCAATGCATGTTGCACAGATAATCAAACTGGTGTTTTGCAAGAGTGTGTGTCCCTTCCAGTGAGGTCAGGCTTCAGTGTCCCCCTGGGGCCTCCAGCAGCCCCAGGCTGGGGCAGGGTGAGGGCCAGGGAGACAGATGCCTGTGCCCATGCACTGTCCAGCAGCACCTGGCACCCGGCAGAGCCCAGCGGCTCAGCCCCCGCTGCACTGCACGTGCATGCGATGCACCGGGGCAGAAGGCAATCGTTTCCCATCTGTGTCCTGCGCGGCAGCTGAGCCCTGCGCTGGCCCCGCTCAGCGCCCAGTCCCGGCGCTGTCGTGTGCTGCAGCCACTTCAGCTTCATCTCTCGCTGGGGGAGAGCTCAAGGGGCCCCTGTCCTGCCCACGGCCCCTGACGCCCACCTGCCGGGGGGCCAGCAGCCAGCTGTCCGCAAGGTCGTCTGTCCACACCGGGTAAATCTTTAACTGCTTCTTGGGAAACACCTGGGAGCTGCTCGTGTGGGTGCCAGGGGGTTCAGAGACACTACAGGGGCTGTGAGCCAGCAGGAAGAGACCCTGCCATCAACCTGCCCAGCCCCGGGCCCTGCATCCTCCACCAGGAGTCCTGCTACCCAGTGGGCAGGTAGAGGGGAACAACTTGCCTGGCACAGCCCCCCCAGTTCCTGGAGGGAGGGGGAGACCTGGGGTGGGGATGTGCCCACCACACCAGTCACATCTCTCTTGGTGTCTTCTCCCCTCTGCCCAGCTTGCTCTGACGGAGGATTGAAGGACTCTAGTGCTGGTGCTGCAGCCAGCGTGACAGAGAGCGGGCAGGCAAGGGACCCTGCGCTGGGCAGCCGGCACCGTGCTCCAGCCTCCAGGAATGGCCGATAAGTGCAGCGAGGGGCTGCTGGTAAGTGCAGGGGTGTGGGGAACGGGCTGCTGTGCGCCACTGCCTCGGGACACAGAGAACCTGGGGCTCCTGTAGGATTTGGTGACCCCTCCGGTTGGGGTTGTGGCACCATGGTGCTCTCCCAGCATGATGATTTTTGGGCTGATGCTCTCTTTCTGTGAGCCTGTTGCCTGTGGGGCTCTTCGGGTGTGGTGTCTCATTGTGCCTGGAGATGCTATCACCTGTTTTCGGGCGCTCTGCCCAACCTTATCAACCACCCCAGCTTTGCAGGCAGGCAGCTCTACAGCCTGGTGTTGGCAAAGGGTGCAGGTGTTCCTCCAAGCCAGGTGCCTCCGAAGGGGCGCCTATTGTGGGTGCTTCTCCTTGCATTCACCCAGTAGGCTCTCTGAGACTGGGCTGGTAGGATGGTGCACTGGGAGAGGAAGGTTTCTCTGGGCACCAGTGTAATGCCTGACCTTCCATCCTCATGAGTGGTGTGTTGCAGAGTACTGTGAGTTTCCATGCACTTGCCTGCGCTGGGGTGGCTTTGGTGTTCCGGGCAGATGTGGGATGTGCCCACTGCATGTCTTTGAAGGAAGGCTGCGATGGCCCCATGCTTGTGGTAACTCAGGTTCCTGTGACAGGCTGCAGTGCCGCCTTGGGCAGGTGAGCCCCCAGGCTGGGCTTGGCTTCTTTCCCCTTTCCCGAAGGATAGGAGCTGAATGCTGAGATTGACATGGTCACCGGGCCCTCCCCTTCCCGGGGGGCTTCCTGAAATAGCTGCACACTCCAGCTGGAGGGCTGGGAGCCAGGGTTTGCCTGGGAAGCCAAGAGCCAGGGAAGCGGCATGCTCCAGCAAGTGCTTCCAGCGCTCCTGCGTGCACGCAGTTCCTCTGCTTGTGTGTCCCAGCATGGCCCCACGGCTGTGCCAGCAGCAGGGAGCCCAGCACCCATCCTACCCCCAATAGAGATGGCGTTGAGGCAGCTGGTGGGATAGGAAGGCAGATTTCTTCTGGAGAAGCCGTGGGCTGGTAACAGGGAGGTGGTGAGGATGTGTCTGGGCACAGTCGGGGGTCTGTCATGAGGACACACTTCTGCACATGGCACTTGCAGTGACTCCATGCCGTTGATGTTTTCTTGCTATGACCAGAACAGTCAGCATCGCACTGGGGAGAGGGCTGAGCCTGACACCCGTGTCAGGAAGCCAAACATTGGAGTGCCCACCCACTCCTCATAAATCTTTAACCCGCTTCTCAGAAGTACCTGACCAGCCCACCCCAGGGCCAGGGTGTCAGGTGCAGCAGGGTCTGACATGTGCTGTGTTGGCCACCTTGGCTCTCAGACCTCTTCTTGGCCCTCCTCTGATTGCAGGGTGCGAGGATACCCCCGCACAGGGTATTGCTGCTATGAGGTCTGTGGGGAGAAGGGTAGATCCCTGTGAGAGCATCCCTGCTCCTGAAGCATCCCCATTCCTGCATCCTGTGAGCCCTAGGAGGAGCTGCCTGAGTCCCTGGGAAAGGAACATAATCTCCTTGGCCTGCCTCCAGGGCCCTGCCAGTAACCTCGTAAAGTTTGGTCCCTGCCTGTCCTCTCATCCCTACCTGCAGGTGCAGCTCCCACCCCCACCACCTCCAGTCCAACCGGGCTCTCACTGTGCAACTCCTGCCGAGCATTGTGTGCAGTGCCTGTGGCTGGACAAGTTTACAGTGCCCACTGTGCCCCACCTGGGTAGGGATAGGGGTGATTGGAGGCAGCAGGTGGGTGATAAGCAGCTGTGCCTCAGTTTCCCCACCTGGGGCCTGGAGAACAAGGCTGATGTGTACTGCTTTTGCAGGATCTGTGTTTTCAAGTGTCCCTGTGAAGCTCTGAATGCTTACTCCAAAACAGGAGGCAGTTGGAAGGGGCCATGCCCATCCTACTCTCCCAAGCCCCAGAAATGCTGTAGATACCCAACAGAGTGCGGGACAGCTCCAAAGGTTTGGATCAGTCCCTGTGTAGCTGGGCAGAGGGGATCCCTGTGAGCCACAGGGGAGGGTCTGACTGCTTTTCCCTCCCAGGCCTTTAAGAACATTTTGTTTTGTTGTCCTTGGGTGCTTTGTTCAGGCTCCAACATTGCCAGTGGCTCCTGACTCCCAGGGCTGCCTTGCTGGCACGGCCAGGCAGCCTTTGGCTGCAGTTTGCCCAGTTCAGGTAGGCTTCTGCTGTCACCCAAGACCACCCTGAGTACACACTGGGATGCTGCTCCCATTGCACTGCAGGGGGGGGTAAGGGCTGGGGGGGTCCCTGCCTGTTCCAGACACCCCCAGCGGCGCAGTGCCACTGACCAGTGGCAGGAGCTGCGGAAGTGGCTTTTGGCTGCGGGAGCCCTTCCCGGAATACCAAGGGGCAGTGATGGGGGGGCTGGCGGGGGATTTTTCTGCCTGAACGCCCCAGGAGAATCATGTCTGCCCTGGTAGAATGGGGCCGGAGAAAGGCAGCCCTGTCGGGAAGCACTCAGCTAGGCACTGGGACAGGTCCCTGGGCATCATTCCTACCCCAGTCACCCTGCAGTCCAGACAATGGGCTGGAAGACCTGTGGGCCACCCTCCATGCATGCATCACCCTTGTATCTCTAGTTGAGCCCCAGCACCACCAGCCAGTCAGGTTGGGGACGAGAATGCCAGGGTAGGTGAGGCCCTTTGTTTCCAGCAGTGTGCCTCCGTGCAGCTGGCTGTCCCCTCTGTCTGCTGGCTGGGCTGCCAGGGAACTGGTGGTTTGCTCCCACAGGACAAGGCTGGCACATCCCCAGGACAGGGCGGTGGGTCCTGCTGTGCTGTGCTGTTCTCAGGCTGCTCTAAGGGGGAGGGGGTGCAACGTGCCCAGGGTAAGACATGGTGGGGGCACACAGGTGGCCCAGGCAGTGTTGCAGCTGAACTGGGTCGTGGAGGGATGCCCACGAGGTGCCCACACATCTTGCAGGGTGTCTGGGCACAGAGCTTCCTGGTTGCATGTAGGGCAGGACTGGGCTGGAGTCACGGGCTGGCACAGCATGGGGTGGCTCTTCGCTTGCATATCTTGGGGGGCACAGCTGGGTGCTGCCATTGCATGAGTGGGACATATCCCAAGCTACTGGGTGGCTGGTGCAGGGGGGGACAGGACCACGCTACTGGGTGCTGGCATGTGGGAGGTTGAGTGCCCACCCCGCACACGTGTGCTGTTCACGTGTGCGCCCACGGCTGCTGCTGCCCGGACCCCAGATGGTCGCCCGAAAGCGCCAGCCCGTCCCCCCCGCCCTCGTTGCACCATCATGCGTCGCTGACGCCTTGGCCACACTCCCCAGCCGGGACACAGGGCTGGGAGCAGCTGGGGCACCCCAAGCCTGGCTGCAGGGCACCCTCTGACTGGCCTCCAATGGGATACAGCACCCCACCAGGGTCCCACCTCGCACTGGCAAAGGGGTGAGCAGGGAGGCTGTGGGGTGCCTGGGCAGTGAAGGGGTCGTGGCAAGCCCTCCTGCCAGCCAGATGGTCCCCCTCGGGGCAGTGACCTTGTAAGGGTTGCCATGGAGGCGCCATGATGTCACCAGTAGTATGACGTTGAGTGAAGTAGCATGGCACCAGGCTGGGGATGGTGCCAGTAGAAAGGCTTGTCCCTGTGCTCCTATCCCCAAGCATGGCCATGCCCTGTTGCTGCAGCCCTTGAATACCCACTGTTGGGATTGGACGTGCAGGGCCAAGCTGCTCTGTGGATGATGGGCATAGGGGGCAGGAATGCATGTTGAGGCACGGAAACAGGGGGCTCTGAGGGAATGTCATCTTCTGCTATGCTCCAAGAGCAGCTCCTGGCCCCGACCAGACGGGCAGCGGTGCCCGCAGGGAGGGCAGTGCTGCCCACTGGAGCGTGCAGGGCTGTGAGCAGCTGGACCCCGCTAATGAGGCCTCATTAAGTGGGACAGGGCTGAGCCCGCTGTGCAGTCTGCTCTGCCTTGTCCTGCCTACTCGAGCTAGGGAGGGCACCTGGCTTTTGGGGGTACAGCTCGTGGGGGGTAGCAGAGGCACGGCAGTGCCTGCGGGGTGGGCCAGGCAGGCATGGTGCCAGGGCAGGTGGCATGGTGGGGTGCTGGTGCTGCATCGGAGCGGGCGACAGGGGGCCGAGCCTGGCTGGGAGGCAAGTGGGGAGCAGTGCCAAGCGCTGGAGGCAGCGGGCGGGGGAAGGCGGGAGGGCGGGCGGCTGCTGCTGCGCCGGAGCCCGAGGTGCCAATGAAGCTGGGGACTCACGGAGCCGTCCAGCCTGGGCCCCCGGATGGCAGCTGCGAGCAGCCAGGCCCCCTCGGACCCTCTCAGCAGGTCAGTGGGCAGGTGAGAGCAGGGTCTGGGGGGCAGACTGGGGGGCGGGCCAAACGGAATGGTGGCCATGCCGGTGCTGTCCCCCCACCATTCATGGGTCTCCAAAACCCTTTGTACTGTCTTCGGGGTGGTGGATCTGCAGGACTGAGCTGCAGCTGTAGATTTGTGCCATGGCATGCTGGAGAGATACCCCCAAGCACCACAGCCTTTGATGTGGGGTGCTCCAGGGAGGGAGGGCAGAGCATGGCACCAAACCCCTCCATGGCTGCAATTGTGTTGGGAGCAAGAAGTGATTGCCTGACAGCTGCGTGTTTGTTATCCCTGGAATCTACTGATTTTGCAGAAGGGGTTCACAGCACCTGAGTTGCAACTCAGTGCTGCAGGGGCATAGTGTAGCAAAGATCCTCCTTCTCTTCTCTTCCCCTCCCCTCTTCTCTTTCATTGGTATTAATGTCAAAGTTTGCCCCAGCCCCACCATGGCACCTCAGGGCAGTGGCTCACAGAACATGCTCAGGGCTGTCACTGGGACTGGACAGACTTCTGCAATGAGAGGTGGTGAAGGCTGTGTAATGCTCCTGAGAGGTCCTGGGGTTTGGGCATGCCCCTCATCACTGCATTATCCCAGCTCTGGGACTGTCCCCAGCACCATGCTAGATGCCTTTTCCCCCACAAGATGCCTCTGCTACACCGGGACAGGGACAAACATGGGGCTGGGCACCAAAGAGAGAGGGAAGGGAGAGTTAGGATGTGCTGGTGAGGCTGAGAGTCAGGATGTGCAGGGCACAGCAACCTCTGATGCAGGGATGACATTTGTGGATTCATTACCCCATGTACCAGGGACAAGGAGTGGAGTGCCAGATTATAGGGCCCCCAGCACTCGGGATCAGTAGAGAGTCAGCAAGGGCACGCAGGACACCCCCTCTCTAAGTGACCCCATCCCTTCATCCCTTGGGACCCCCACCTCAGGCTGGGGTTCATCTGCCTCCAACATCCTGCACCCTACTTTGTTGCTCTGGAAGAGCCACTTTTGTGGCAAATGATGTAATTAGCTTATTTTTCTATCTTCCAGCAGCCCCTGCCTAAAACAGCCATGAGTGTGTTGCCATCGCCATGGCAATGAGCAATGACATCAGGCTGATGACATCAGGGGTACTGGTACCCTCTGCTGGCATTGCAGGAGCATCCCTGACAGCCCCTGAGTTGAAGGTTGGATGGAGAAATTGGGAGTCCCTTAATGGTTAATGGGGGCTGGATAAGGTTTGTGCCCCACAGAGTGCCTATGCGAGGCTGGCATACCCCCATGTGGACAGTTTGAATGGGAAAAAAGAGGAGGGGGTTCATGCTGGAGATGCCTCCCATGAGGACATCCCCTTCCAGTATCGACCCTGCCACCATCACAAGCTTACCAGCCATAAATCAGGGCCCCTTAGGGAAGTGGGGCGCATCCGGGCACCCCAGCCAAGCTGTCATTGTGTGAGGCAATGCTGCTTAGCATGAGAAAGACTTTGGTGCCAGGCAGGGTGATGGATGATGCTGCCTGCTTTGCTGGGCTGGGGAAGTTTTGGCCGTGGTGTATGAGGGGTTCCCTGGGGAAAGGGGAGGAAGGATGCCTCGGGCACCCCAAACGTCCCCTTTTGGGAAGTTTTTGGATATTCCCTTTTGGAACTTCCCTTCTGGAGATATTTGGGGTGCCTGTGGCATCTTTCCTCCTCCCTGATGTTATCACCGAAGCCAGGCATCCTTTGAAGCTGCATTGGATTACATGCATGGAAAATTTGGGGCCTGGGAGCAGGACCTGGTGCCCCCAGAGACTGCACTGTTGCTGGGTGGCAGCTCTCCCTTTGCATTCCAGCTCTGTCTTTTTCCCACAGCAGGGAAAGGGGGGAGTTTGATCTTCCCAGATGTCTGGATTCTCTCTATCCACCCCCTTCTTTTACCATGTGGGGTTGGGAGGGTGGTTAATGAGTGTAAAGGACAGGGTGACCTTCCTAGATTTGGGGGGGCGGGGGGGGGGTGGTAGCGGGCTGATGGGTGAGCATGCAAGTGTTTGTGCACGTGTGCTCACTTGTGCATGCATGGACACACATGTGGCTGCCCCCTTATTGGGGACAAGTGCACCAAAACCCAGTGCTGCAGGAAAGGAGGAGGGAGCAGCACAGGCCTGGTGGTTTCATTGCACTGGTGCCAAGCAACTCAAATTTGGGGTGCTCCATGAGGCTTGGGAGTGAAGCCAGGGTCACCTGAGCAGAGTGATGTCTTGGAAGAGGGATGAGGTCCCCTGTGGGCACCAAGGCTCCTGACTGAGCTGGAGCCATACAGTGTATCTGGTCCCCTCACTAGAGCCTTTGTCAGGGAGGCTGGAGCATTGCCCCACTCCTGCTGGCTGTGCTGCTCATTAGGAGCCTTGTTAGTGCGAGCAGCTTAATCAGAGCTTCCCGGTCGGATCAGTCTGCTCGAGTGGGCAGTGTGCCCTGGCATGGGGACACTGCCAGTGTCCTGTCCCCCGCTTTTGTCCCCCTGACTCTTGCTCTTGCACAGCACCCCACAAGAAGAATCTCTGCTGGGAGGGAGGTCCCTCAGCACCTGGAGCTGTTGTGAGCTTGTTTCCAATGGACCCTTGGCTCACAGGGTCAGGTGGGGGCACTCAGGTTCCCCGTTTGGGCACGGCAGTGCATTGCCCCTGTAGCCCTGCCCCAAGTGCCCTCCGATCCCCCTCGCTCCTGTCGTGCAGCCCTGCTCCCCTGCAGCCCCCCCGCAGCCCGCGGCGCGTGCGGGCCCCACTCGCAGCAGATGGCTTTGTTTGGCAGCGCGGTGCCGGAGTCGCTGGGCATCACGTCCCGGCTGTGCCGGCCCTAATCAAATGATACGGTTAGGTGCACCGCGCCTGCTGCCTGCACCCCGCTGGCGTGAGCAGATCCAAAGTGACGGCTCCCATTTGTGGCCCACTCACTGCTGGCATCAGCCATTGTGGGGGGCACATGTGGAGGTGGGCATGGGCACTGGGGTGTCCGTGGTGGTGAGTCCAGCACTGTGGAGTTCCAATAGGCTCCTAGAGTTGCTGGCACCCTGTGCTGCTCCTGTGGGAGCATGGGTGCTGTGGGATTATGAACTGGCAACCAGCACCCTCACCCCCATGAACCCATCCAGCACCTGGGCTCGGGAGGGGAGGGCTTGGGGCATCCCTGCATTGCAAAATGCCATCTACCCTCAGCCTAACCTGCCAGAGCTCCACAGTATCCACGCAGGGCATTAGTACGACCCTAGGGCTGTGCTGGGACGGAGCCATGGGGTGATGAGTTCCATCCCTGCTGGGGTGACAGGCACTCATGTCCTTTGTTGTTGTTCTCCTTGGTGTGAGCTCACATTGTGTGGCAGTCTGCACAAAGCGCCCTTTCTTGACCTCTTCTGCCCCCCCCCCCAGTCCCCTGCAGTGAGAGACAGCTAGGCATTGGGACGGTCCACACAGGGGACCCAACTGCATGGGACCCCCTGTGACCTGCCCCAAGCATGGTGCCCTTGCTTAGTGCTGAGCTGGCAGCAGGACCCTGACTGAAGCAGGGTGCTTTTCCTCGGGGGGGTACCCAGGCCCCTGCCAGCTCTAGTCACTGCACCTCATTTCCCATCAAGAGGGGCTTCTGCTTCACCCCGGGGGTCCCACAATTTCCCCTCCTGCTGTGGGCAGTGGCCACCCAGCAGGACCTCTCTTGCTGGGCGCAGGGAGGGGGGGCATGAGAACAGAGGCCCCTTTGTGCTCTGGCGCCTGGACCTGCTTTGTATGAGTTGCAGGCTCTCCCTTTGCTGCAGCCGGGCTCTAGGCAGAGCCATTCATTGGGGGGGGGGCAGCACTGCTGCCCTCCCCCTCCTTGGCACTGCCTGTGCGTGGCGGGTGGTGGGGGGGTGGGATGGGGAAGGATGCCGGGGACCTCCCAGTCCCGCTTGGTGGCTGTCACCCTTCCAATGGGGCCAACAGGGGGGTCCCCAGTTGACACATCCCACGGCATATCCCTGCAGAACGGTGCCGTGCCTGGGGAGCAGGGCAAGCAGGAGAAGAGCGTCAAGCGTGGCAACTGGGGAAACCAGATCGAGTTTGTGCTGACCAGCGTGGGCTATGCCGTGGGCCTAGGCAACGTCTGGCGCTTCCCATATCTCTGCTACCGCAATGGAGGAGGTGGGTGTCAGGGGGCCAAGGAGTGGGCTTCTTCTGGGCAGGTGTGGGGCTGCACACCCCAGCCCCACATGGTATTTCTTGGGGTGATGCAGGGCATGGGAAGCACAGCCATACCTGGGGTTACTGTTTACTCATCCTCTGGTTCCTGCTCACCAGGTGCCTTCATGTTCCCCTACTTCATCATGCTTGTGTTCTGCGGCATCCCCCTCTTCTTCATGGAGCTCTCCTTTGGGCAGTTTGCCAGCCAGGGCTGCCTTGGCGTCTGGAGGGTCAGCCCCATGTTCAAAGGTAAGAAGCTGCCGGTCTGTACTGGCACAGGCCAGCATGGGACACCTGCTGTCACAGTACCTGGCAGCTGGTGTGACCCTCACACACCATGGGATGCATGCACACCTCTGGCACATCACATGGCCCGGTACAGGCACCTGCAGCCTGTGCAGTCCTGCAGACGCATGCCCTGCACATGGATCACCGTCTGCATTGCACTGGTCCCCTGTGCACATGCCCACCCTGGCTACGCTGCCCTGCACAGCCTGCCTTGCACGCATTACATGTGCCCCTGCACATGCATCTCCTGCGCAAACCCCAGCCCTGCGCTGGCATCCACTGCAGGCATTACACACGCATCCCTGCATATGCCACACGTGTCCCCAGCACATCACTCCTGCAGAGGCCACTCAGGTCCCCTGAACACACTGTGGCATGTTCATGCAGTCGTCTTCCTGGACCATAGGTAGCAGGTGCTGTGCCCACGTGCTTGTCTTGTCATGGCTGGACCCTGCTCCAGGTGCATCTCCTGGCTTCCTGGTGTGCTCCCATGCTGCTGTCTCCCCTGGCCCACACCTGCAGGCTGGCTCCCAGATGACATGCCCACAAACTCACATCTGAGTGCAGGCAGCCTATGCACACACTCTTGTGTGCTCTGCACAGTGACATGCCGAGCCTGGGCTGCACTTCCCTGTGCTCATGTGGCCTGTCACATGCCACCAGATAACTGCAGGACTAAAATTGCTGTAGCCAGGAGTGACCCCCACCCAGTTGTTCTCTTGGGCTGCAGACCCCAAGGATTTGCCTGCAGTTTGTGTGCATTGCTATGTGTCTCAGGGAACCCTTAGTACCTAGGCTTGTTTGGAGGTAGAGAACTCTATGCAGTGCTCCTCACACCCATGCCAAAGCCAGGCGCTGAGCTGCAGCATGGCTGCAAGGCTGCTGACAGCATCGCATGCAGCCCACCCCTCCCATGCCACAACCCCTGGTGCCGTGCCGCCGCACCCTGCCGCTCACCCCTCCCCGGTGCTGTTCCCAGGCGTGGGCTACGGGATGATGGTGGTATCCACATACATCGGGATCTACTACAACGTGGTGATCTGTATTGCCTTCTACTACTTCTTTGTGTCCATGACGCGTGTGCTGCCCTGGACATACTGCAGCAACCCCTGGAACACGCCTGACTGCGTGGGGGTGCTGGACGGGAACCTCTCCAGCCGTGCTGCCCTCAACATCACCCAGCTCCTCAACACCACCCAGAAACGCACCAGCCCCAGCGAGGAGTACTGGAGGTACCAGGGCTGCGATCAGGGATGGGGGAGGTGATGATAGTTGGGTCCCACTGACGCTGCTGCCCCCTCCCCATACAGGAGGTATGTGCTGAACCTGTCGGATGATATCGGGAACCTGGGCGAGGTGCGGCTGCCCCTCCTGGGCTGCCTTGGTGTCTCCTGGGTCGTTGTCTTCCTCTGCCTCATCAAGGGCGTGAAATCCTCGGGGAAGGTACCTGTGTGTTCCCTGTCTAGGCCCCTCTCTGTGGGTGTGGACATGCCTTCAGGATAGATGGCTATGTCGCCTCTAGGTACAGCCCCTCCCCTACTGGGAATGAACCTCCCCTTGTGGACATGTCCCTATCGCTTCTGGGCACAGCTCCTCCTCTTTTAGCATTGTCCCTGCCCTCTGTGTATGCTCCTCCCACTCTGGGAAAGGTGACACCCCTGGGACCTGGCCACGTCCCTTCTGGACACAGCTCCTCCCATGTGGCCATGGTCCCACCTCCTTGAAGATAGTCCCTTCTCTGGACCAATCCTCTCCTCCTGGTCTGCCACTCCACACTCTGGACCATAACCCTAGCCCATAGCCACACCTTAGCCACAGCTGCCTGTGTCCCCACCCCTGCCCCCATCCCCACCTCACTGAGGTGCTGCCCCACAGGTGGTGTATTTCACGGCCACCTTCCCGTATGTGGTGCTCACCATCCTCTTTGTGCGCGGCATCACGCTGGAGGGGGCCGTCACTGGCATCATGTACTACCTGACACCCCAGTGGGACAAGATCCTCAATGCCAAGGTGAGCAGGGATGAAGGGTGGTGGGCAGCCAGGGCTGAGCAGGGCTAGGGGCACAGCATTGAGCATCCCACTGCCACAGGTGTGGGGTGACGCGGCCTCTCAGATCTTCTACTCGCTGGGCTGTGCCTGGGGTGGGCTCATCACCATGGCCTCCTACAACAAGTTCAACAACAACTGCTACCGGTGAGTGCCTGACCACAGTCCCCCAGCTCTGCTACTGTCCTTGTGTCCACTGCCAGCCTTGACTCCTCTTCCCATAGGGACAGCATCATCATCAGCATCACCAACTGTGCTACCAGTGTCTACGCTGGCTTCGTCATCTTCTCCATCCTGGGCTTCATGGCAAACCATCTGGGTGTGGATGTCTCCAAGGTGGCTGACCATGGACCAGGCCTGGCCTTCGTTGCCTACCCTGAGGCCCTCACCTTGCTCCCTATCTCGCCACTGTGGTCCGTTCTCTTCTTCTTTATGCTCATCCTCCTGGGGCTGGGTACACAGGTAGGTCATGGTGGGGCCAGCTTATTCAGATGGGATGGCATGGTGGGGCCAAGGAGGTGACATGCTGCCCTCTGCCCCATATGCAGTTCTGCCTGCTGGAGACTCTGGTCACGGCCATTGTGGATGAGGTGGGCAATGAGTGGATCATCCGCAAAAAGACCTTTGTGACGCTGGGAGTGGCTGTGGCTGGCTTCCTGCTGGGTATCCCACTCACCACACAGGTAGGTGACCGCAGGGTGCCATTGCTTTGGCCACCTTCATCAGCCACATCCACTTTGTTGCCACTGTGATGGTAATGACAGCCAGGGCCTGGTCTTGCCAGGCCAACATGGGTGATGGTACCCAGAATTTAGTGTCTCCATGCTGACTTGGGCATCAGGCATTGCTGTGCCAGCTGTGGTGGTGGTATTCGAGCTGTGTGCTGCCAGCACAGTCAGCATGGCTGTGCTGTTGCCCTGCCAGCAGTGGTGGTACCACAGGGGCAACTGTGCCAGTGTGTTTGTCTTCCAGGCGGGCATCTACTGGCTCCTGCTGATGGATAACTACGCTGCCAGCTTCTCCCTGGTGGTCATCTCCTGCATCATGTGCGTGGCCATCATGTACATCTATGGTAGGTACAGCTGCCTGCAGCCAATCAGATGGTAGGGCTGACCCAGCCAGCCAATGGGGAAGTGTTTGTCCCAACATCTGGCCAATCAGCAGTTTGGTCTCTGCTGCATGGAGAGGCTGTTGCCTAATCGGGGGCTGGGGCTGGAGCCGGGTGGGCGGTGAGGGGGCTCAGGTTGTCACCAGGGCTGATGGTTACTTTTCTCCCCAGGACACCGCAACTACTTCAAGGACATTGAGATGATGCTGGGTTTTCCTCCCCCGTTCTTCTTCCAGATATGCTGGCGCTTCATCTCACCTGCCATCATATTTGTGAGCATCACAGCCATGGGGCATTGGGCTGTGGGAGGAGGGGGTGAGGAGCTCACCTGCACATGACACTCCCTGGAGAGGAGAGTGCTGGGCTCAGGAGAGCAGCAATAGTGCAGAGTGGGGAAGCTGTGGGGGCACAGAGCAAGCTTCCTGCTCCTCACTATCCCTGCCTATCCCTTCCCAGTTCATCCTGGTCTTCACAGTGATCCAGTACCGGCCCATCTCCTACAATGAGTATGTCTACCCTACCTGGGCCATCAGCATCGGCTTCCTCATGGCGCTCTCTTCTGTCATCTGCATCCCCATCTACGCCATCTACAAAGTGTGCCGTTCTGAGGGGGACACACTGCTTGAGGTGGGTGGCCAAGGGCTACACCCTTTTGTCTATGTCCCACCTGGGGCTGCCATCAAGACTGTCCCTGACCTCACTGGAGCTGTCAGCAGTGGCTGTGTGCAGGCAGCATGCGTTGGGTACCATATGTCTGTACACCCCTGGAAGCTGCTGGCAGCTTAGTGCCGACTGGGGCAGGGGAGCATGGTGGGTGCTAATCACGTCTCCATCCTCTCCCTTTCTAGCGCTTGAAAAATGCTACCAAGGCAAGCAAGGACTGGGGCCCAGCGCTGCCAGAGCACCGCAGTGGGCGCTACGCCCCAGTGTTCAGCCTTTCCACTGAGTCCCACCTAGAGGTGCAGCCTCTGCAGCCAGAGAAGGGCCAGAATGAAGCAGTGGCTGCATCCCCCGTGCAGGGCAGCAATGGCTCAGCCCACAGCCAGGACTCCAGACTGTGACCCCCCACAATCCCCGCACCCCCTCTAACCCCTCTTGCACCTTCCGCTGGCGGAGCCTGGCTCCGGGCCGCACTGGACCATGGGGGCTCTCAGCACCCATCCCCGAGACCCCCCCACCTCCTCGCCGGTTAACCCCTCCCGCCCCCGCCCCCGTGGCGTTCGTTAACCCTCGTGTTTACGGTAACCTTTGTGCTCGACGCTGGGACAAGAGAGGAGGGGGCACAGCCCCGGGAGGGCCGGGAGCCAGAGGCACTTTGCAGGGGCCTTGACCTGGGGGTATGCACAGGATGGGGGGGTGGGATGTTCCCAGGCTCTCACCCCCCCTTCCCTAAGCCAGGCAGCCTGCCCTGCCATGGGGCACCCTCCAGACCTTCCCATGGGGAGGACATGGGGTGGGACCAGGGTTGGGCATGTCAAGATTGCCCACGGCCTGTGTGTGCACAAGGCCATCGTGGCAGGGGTTGGCACTGCAGGGACCCCCAGCCTGTGTGCACACTCACCGTGGCTCAGAGCCTACTGGGTCTCACAGGTGGTCATACCTAGGGGTGCTGCCAGGCACCAGGCCAGCACAGGGAGATGGGGGGCAAGCATGTTGCTTGCACCGGCAGGGGGATCTGATGGCACAAGACACAAGCACTTAGAGCACACGTGTGTACACGTGTGTGTCCGTCACAGACACAGGATGGGCACAGATGTGGCGTACATGGGCATGCACATACGCACGGTACGCCGGGGCTGTGCAGGCAGTGAGCTGCTCCTCTCCATGCACCTCTCCACCCTGTGGCCCCACTGGGGTCTGTGGGTGCCCTTCTGGGTGGCCAGGCATCGCCTACAAAGCTGGGCACAGCCACAAGCAGCATGGGCACAGCCCCATGCAGCTGCTTGCCCCACAGTGGGGCAGGAGGCTGGGGAGTACTTAGGCCTGGCCGGGGGGTAACTAGACAGGGATGAGGTCCAGCTCTCCCTGGCAGCCCCAGCACTGGCAGGGGAGGACCCTCCATGGTGCTAAGGGGGAGCAGGATGGACCGGCCTCCCCCATCTGCTGCTTAGCAAGAGGTACCAGCGGAGACACGAAGGGCTGCACCAGCCCACTCGCTCCGAGCCATCTGGGGATGCTCAGTCCCTAACCAGTATTAGTGGAACAGGATGCACTCGCAAAGGCTGGGTGGTTTTAAATCTGTCTTCCAGCTTCAGCCAAAGGGCTTGGAGCTCTTGATTTGGGGTGGATGGGATGAGACCCTTCCTACCCCACTCGCTCCCCTCCCAGCCAGCACCCTGTTTTCCCTATGTTGCAGCCCCGAGGCTGGCACAGGGACATGGCACAGCTTGGCACAGTGGCGGGCGGCGGTGGGCGGCGAGCCCCAGCAGGATGTTCCAGCTCCCCGTCCCGAGCCCCCCGTCGTGCCGCGGCGAGGGGCGCAGGTTCCCGCATGGTGCCCGTGCTCTGCCCCTCGAGTCACGCCGCTACTCTTCACCTCTAATTGTTAGCAATAATGCGCGCGTCCCTGGGCAGCGCTGCCTGTGCCAGTGTCTCTGGGCAGCACTGCCTGTGCCAGTGTCTCTCCTGGTGTAGAGTTCTAAAGTATCCTAGATTTTAATGAGATTTATATTCCTGAGGCTGTGTCCTGCTGTGGCCTTCTTTGGGAAATATATGGAGGGAGGGAAGTGTTGAAGAGTGGGGGCCCATACTTGCTGGGTGCAGGTCTTTTCACCTCTGATACCAGGTATTGACACTCAACAGCCAGCTAAGTCCTGGGGAATTCTTTTCCCTACCAGCTGGTGGTAAGGCAGAGGATGGAGGACAGGCTTATTCTTGCTGGGGGAGAGCATTGTCCCCAAATGGACAGAAGGGCAACAAAGTCCATGGTACAGTGAGGGCAGCTGGTTTTGCCCTGTGTGCTTTGCCCTAGGTGGGCACCTTGTTAGGCCCCCCTGCATTGCTGAATGAGCTGAGGGGTCCCCCAAGGGTGGACAAGATGAGGCTGGGGCTCTGCCTCCCAGCCAGCAGCTAGAGGTGGTAGACAGGACTTCTTCCCCTCTATACTCCATAATCCCACTTCTTCATCAGATGGTGCTTTCTCCCACCCCCACCCACCCCCAGAAAGCCTGCCAACTTTTCAAACTTTTATTAAATACAAAACCCCTGGTCTCTACGACCAAACGCTGCATTCAATGTACGCTGAAAAAGGGTCAGACATTCAAATGTACAAAAGTCGCCGGTGCCCCCCAGCCCGGGCGAGCTGCCCTGCTCCCAACCCCACTGCTCCCAGCCCCCCATGGAGCATCAGGGGTGCTGGGGCTCCCAGTCCTATGGAGGGGTACAGGGCTCCCGCCCTGCATGGTCCCAGTCTCTCCTGCCAGCAGCCCCCCTGCCCCTGGCCTGGAAGGGGGAAGGCAGACAAGGGGAGACCTTAAAGGGAAGATTCCCTCCCTGCTAGAGGGGGGCTGCACCAGCCCCCACCGAGAGGGGCTGGGGGTTCAAATGAGCCCTATTTCCCCACCAAAGTAGGGGGGGTGGGCAGGCGCAGGCAGGGGCTGCACACACACACACACAGCACCTGCCTTTGGGAAAGGGGGATGGGATACAGCTGCCATCCCCCCAGCCCTGGGGAAACTGAGGCACAGCGAGGGGCATTCGCTAATCAGAGGTCTCTGTTTGGCAGAGCTGAGACAGGGCCCGGCTCTAAGCACCAGACTAAAGCAGAGGAAGACAGCAAGCCACGTCTGTGTGCCCAGCAGCATGGGCAGTGCCTGGCCAGGGCAGCAATCTTGCCCTGATCCTGCCTGCCTGGGGGCCCCGGGCTGCTCCCATCCCCAGCTGGGCAGTTGTGGCTCCAGCGCTAGTAAAGGGGGAAGCCTGCACCCCACTTCTCACAGCGCTGGTGGGGACCCTCCAGCTCTCAGAGAGCAGTGGGATTTCACCCTCCCCACCCAGGGTGCAGGCAGGAGCTGGCATGGACTGGGGGATCCTCGCCAGGCCTGGGGTTGCCCCCTCCCTCTGTGCCAGAAGCTGCTCGCAGGGCAGCCGGGCTCATCCACCAACACACCACGTATGGGGCAGGGGTCCTGCAAACACACTCGTGGGGATGGGGGAGACAGAGAAATCCTGGGGACCAAAGGGCCGGCTGGGGGGCAGCCGTCTCCAGAAGGCAGCAGAGTAGGCAGAAAACATCCCTGTCCAGTCCTGGCTCTTGAGCGGAAAGAAAACCCGCCATGCCCAGCCAGCCCAGGCACTGGGGTTCCCGGTGACAGGAGCACTAGCCGCGGGCCAGGCGGGGCGGTGGCCTGCCGATCTCCACCGTGATGTTGGTGTACATGGGCTGGCGGGAGATCTCCACCAGCCGGTACTGCAGAGAGCTGATCCCGTCCCGCTTCATCGTCATTTTGGTGTTCTGGATCTTGGTGAATCTGGTGGAAAGAAGAGCAAGATGAGGATGGAGGAATGTCTAACTGTAGTGCCAGCAGTGCTGGACCTATGTGGGGGTGAGCAGCCACGTGATTGCCCAGCATCCCAACTTCCCCAGCCCTGTGGCTCACTCACCTCTGCGGGTTGGGCTCATTGTGTTTGTCGCGTTCATGCTTAATCATGCGGTACCTCCCAATGCGGATGTCGGGCCTCGACACCTTCATGCCATTCAGGGAGATGCTGGGGGCCAGGAGCAGGGTGGGATCAGTGTGCGGGCACCAGGGTGGGACATTCCCCAGCCCGGAGACCTCCAGGGTCAGACCTCGGGCAAAATAAACCTGTCCCTGGTTAAACAAAGCTGTGCCAAGCCAAGATGAGCAAAGCCAGGCCCCACCCAGGCCAGTATCATGACCTAGGGTGCCACATGCCCCATGGCAGTGAGCCTAAACTGCCACTCCCGTCCAGAGATTGGCAATTGCATTCAGCCTGTGCTGCACACAGGCAGCCATCCATGTGCAGCCATCCATCCCTCCCTCCCTCCCTCTCTCCCTTCCTCCCTCTGCGGCCCCTGCCCTTTACATTCCCTGAATGCCGCTGCCTAGCCCTTCCCTTGGAGCCCTCCCCTCAGATCAAGGGCTGCCTGAAGCTCTTCCAGAGCTGCACACACTTCTTGTCCCCCACCCTGAGCCCACCTTGTGTGGAAATCGCAACTGGGCCACATGCCCAGGGTTCCCACAAGGGTGCTTTGCTTGTCTGGCCATTACAGGCTGGTTACACTCCACTGGCTGCACACTGCTTCCCTGGGCAGCACCATAGGGGAACCCACAGGAGGTGAAGGGGGCCACTGCCCAGCTCTGGCACCCAAGGCAGGGTGTGGGGGAATTGGGCTTTGCTCGGCATGCAGGTGTACTGCTGCCTGCTGGCAAGAATGGCTGTGTGGCTGCTACACGGCCACCACTGAGATGCTTCCAAGTTTTTAATCTCAGCCCTGGACACATTTAAGTCTAGCATCCAGCCCCTGTATAGAGCAGAGCCCACAGGCACACCACACTGTGGATGCAGTGCATACCACACTGCAGGCTTCAGCCACAAGGGAGGCAGAGGGGTGTCCTACAGCCCCCCAGCATTCTGGGAAAGGCCAGTTCCATCCATGAGGGTCATCAACCCCAATGCTGGAGTGTAATTCAATCCCTCCCTGACACGGCCCGTGCACATACATCCCCCACAAAACAGGGAACACCAGTGCTGTAAGAGTGCTAATTCAGTGCTTCATGGGGAGCCTGGTACACACCAACCAGTCAGTGCTAGTGAGGGGTTGGGCACCTACCGATTAAAGATGTCATCGTCCTCTCCTCCCCAGCCCCAGTACTCATTGGGAAAGCCATTTATCTTCAAGAACTGGGACTTGCTCAGCCCAGAGACACCACCAAAGTAGCCGGCATAGGGCAGCCTGCAAGTTGACAGCAAATGGGTCAGCCCCAGGAACAGGCAAAGATGGAGGTGAGCCCCATGGGGACCCTCAAGTACAAGGACCAACTGTATCACCCTCCTACCCAGGGCTCCGTGCCCTCTCCCATCTCAGGTCCACAATTCCAGCCATTTTCCTCATGCCTGCCCCAGGTGACAATTGAGGGTGGTTGCCCTGATGCCACCCCAAAGAGATATTCCAGCCCTGCCTGGACAGAAACACCCCAGGTTCCCCAGGGCACCCACCTAAACCCAAACTTGTCCATGCCAACAGCAAAGTGCCGTGGCTGCTCATAGCAGCGATAGAGGTTGCGATCGTCCATGGGGATGAGGTCCACGTCGCTGAAAATGAAGCAGTCATACTCCTCGTCATCCTTGAGTGCCTCCATGAATCCCACGTTGAGCAGCTTGGCCCGGTTGAAGGTGTCTTCACCGAACTGCAGGGCAAAGCTCAGCAATGTCTGCTTGTCTAACCCAGCCCTGCCATTCCCTTGCCCTTGCCTCCCTCACCTGGTTGATGATGTAGATACCATAAGCCACCTTCTGCCGGCGCAGGATGGGGTGCAGGTAGTGCAGCCAGTACTTGAGGTGGTGCTCACGGTGCCGGAAGGGGATGAGGATGGCCACCTTCTGCCGGGGTAGGCAGTCTGGGGGACTGTACTTGCCGCCTTGGCGCACATCAGGGTTCTCCCGCTGCACTCGTTCCATGCTCATGGGAGAGCTGAACTCGATGAGCAGGCGCCCAACTGTGAGAAGAAAGGCAGGGCGATGCACACAGGACAGTACATGGTCAGGGTCATGGTCACTGCCGCTCCTGCCAGGAGTAGCAAAGCAAACAGCGAAGGGGACCTGCAAGGGGGACTGGCGCTGCCGAGGGCAGAGCACACCCAAAATCGTTCCTAAACAGGGGCAGAAAGACTGGGCTAACAAAACCTGAAACCAGCTGTCCTGATACAGTTCAAGGCTGGGGTTTCTCTATTATTTCACGGGGAAGCCATGCCCAGGGCCCAGGGGATAAGGATGTCAGCTGTGAGGACCCATCTTAGCCCCATGTTCAGAGTCAAAGCCCAAATTCACCCCCAACGCTCACCCAGCATGTCTCACCTAAGCCAGGAGGCATCTCCTGACAAGGCTGCAAAGGCTTCTCAGTGGTGGACTGGTTGGTGCTGGGCTTGGTGCTGGGTGATGGGGCCTCAGCACTGGCTGGCCCGTAGCTGGGAACGGTGCCGTTGGGGCGGGAGGAGTTGGAGAAAGGGTGGGAGCGCGAGGCATTCCTGGCGTTGAAACGGCTGAAGAAGTCCAGGTGCTGCGCGTAGACGTCAAAATAGAGGATCATGATGATGACAAAGTGGAGCAGGCAGAGCAGCAGCACGGCCTTGCAAATCCTTTCCAGGGTCACCCCCAAGAGCAGCCTGGTCATCTTCTGGGCACGGGCAGGCAGACATGTGCGCTTGGTGGGGCAGGGGGGCGGCTCCAGCCACGGTCCTGATCCTGCCAAGACATCTCACACTGAGGACACCACAAGCCTGAGCTCCCAGCCCAGCCCAAATGACACTGGGACAGCAGGAGCAGCACAGACCTGATGCAGACATGAAGAGTTTGCAGGCTGGTATGCCAGAGAACACCCCAGGGGGAATGCTGCACCTGGATCCCTGCTCTTAAGGCACAACCATGAAGATATGAGAGGTCCTCAGTCCCATATAGTAAGTCCCCTCCTTGCTTTCCTAGGCCAAGTCCAGAACAGGACAGACCCACTCCCCTTCCCTTTCCCCCACCCAGAGAGAGGATGCAGACACCTCCAGACATGCCACAAAGAACCTCCATGGAGGTTGGGCCCTTGACAAAGGCTACGCTCTCCAAAAACATGGCCCGTGTGGGATGTCCCAAGGGCACCACAGGTGTCCCCATTAGTTACCCCTTTCCCTCTCCCTCCCCACAGAGCTACACCCCAGCAACAGCACCAAAGTGGGGTGGCAATGACAGTCATACCGGAAGGGGCCCTCCTCAAGGCACCCAGCAGGTGAGCAGCTGCACAGCAGACACTGAGCCAAGACAAGCCCAGCCCAGCTTAGCAGGACATCCCAGCCCCCCTGAGTCAGGGTTCCCTGCCCCATCCAGGGGGGTCTGGCTTACAGCCCGTGGTGCAGATCCTCTCCCCTACTCCTGATGGTGAGGCCTCCTGGGACACTGGACTGCTGGAAGTCAGGGTCCCCTTATCTCCCACATGACACCTGGAGCTGGGCCAGAGCCCTGCCGGGAAGCCAGCCGAGAGAGTCACTAGAGAATCCCAGACAATCTGGCCTTTCCCAGCCCTGTCACTGCCAGGGCTCAGGCCACAGCTCAGCCAAGCACCCCAGTTCCTGCCCTGATCCCTGCCCTGCTAGTCCCTGCTTTCAGGGAAGCTGCTAGGACATGACAGAGCAATCACAAGGGACAGGCACTGGGGTTTACAAAGTCCTGAGAACCTCAGAACAGGCCAAAGCTGCTGCATGGTCCCTGGGGGGGACCTTAGTGGCTGGGGATCTGCAGCACGACCCCCAGCAGCAGTGCAGGTAGCACCCAACAGCACTGGCAACCAGTCACTGGCAGCTGCCAGCCCTGTCCAGTGGAGCCCTCCAGGGAGCTGCAGGGCACTGAGTCGGCAGCAATGACTACACTGGATGGGTATGGGGATTGGAGCTGAGGTGTGAAGCGGGATCCTTCGCCCAACCCTGCTCTGGGGTGTTCTCTTCCAGTCGCAGGACTGACGCTGGCAGGCAGACCCTGGAACCCACTGCAGGCAGAGAGGTGCTGGAAAAGGCTCTGAGCCCAATGCCCCAATTATATCCACCCTCCCTCTGCAGGATGCAGAGCAGTATCCCTGTGGATACTGGTGGATAGGGATGTCCTGGCATGTGTCAGCAGTCCAACCCCACATCCATTTTTTTTCTAGAAAGTAGCCCTCTGAAGAAAAGCTCGCTTTGCTGTTGTTGCTCAAACTTTCCCCCAATCACAGTGCCTTGTCACCCGGCACAGCCCGTAACACAGTCACCTGGCTGCCTCCAGCACCTGCCATAAACCCTCCCCAAAAACCTGTGCAGTATATGGAGTGGTGGTGCCCCAACAGCCAGATGGGGATGCAACAGGGAAAAATCAGAGCTGGTTTGAGGGGCCCTTTGGCAGAATGGTCTACGACGAAAGCAGAGAGTGAGACACTCAGAGACACTCAGCAAGAACAAAAGCAAAGCACGCCATCGAGCAGTGGCCACAGGACACCACGAAGATGAGTGGGCTTAAACTGCTAAGGAGGGGGTTATGAAATATGTTGTCATCTCCCCTCACCGCAGCGTCTGTGCAGGATGTGAGAGGCCAAAAGCAACCTGGGGCTGGGGAACTGGTCCCCAGGGTTTCAAGCCAGTGCAGTATGTACCATGGGGCTGGTGATACTCGTTTTGGAGGGGATGCTCAAACCCGTAGACTCAATCCTTCTTCCCACAAGACATCCCACGGCTGGGAGAAGGGAGGCACGGAGGGAGCCGGTGGCTTCATGCCCTAAAGGTGGCCACCTTCCTCCCGGCCAAAAGTGGGGCGAGGGGCCGCATTCATCACAACTAACGCTCCCCCGCCCCCTAATTTTTCCCAGTCTCCGACACATGCAAAAACTTATTTAAAAAATGAGAAACAACCTCAAGATTAGGCTTTTTCCCGAGCCGGAGTGGTGCCGCCCATGAGTGACCGGGATCGCATCTCCCGGGTCGCATCCCGGGCCTCCCCCGCCCGGCCAGGCCTGCCCGCGCCGCTGCACTCACCGCGGCCTCGGGGCTGCCGCGCCGCCCCGGCGCCGGTCAGCGGCCCCCGCCGCCGCCTCCTTCTCTTCCTCTTCCTTCTCTTCCTCCTCCAGCCCCGGCCGCCGGCCCGTGGGCTCCCATGCCCGGGGCTGCGGGGGGCCCAGCCGGCCGGGCCGCCGCACCGCCGAGAGCCGCAGGGAGACGGGGCCGCGCCCGCACGCCGGCTCCGCCCGCCGCCGCCGCACCGGGCGGGGCCGCCGCCACCGCCCGCCCCGGAGCCGCGGGGCGAGGGGGGCAGTCCCGCAGGCACCGGGGCCCACGGACGCGGATCCCACGGATGCAGACGCACCCTGGGGTGCGCGATACCTCCGGCTCCGCCACGGGATGCTCAGCCCTTGGTTACAGGAGCGGCACCGGGGACCCCCTAAGCGCCTCCGGGACACAGGCACAGGGTGTCCCAGCCTTTCTTCATTCCCTTGCTCCTTGTTGCCAGAAGGCAACGCTTCCATGGACCCACCTGCGGCGACTCCCACGCTCCCGGCCGTTGGTGCTGGCTCGGTGTCCGTTGCAACCTATTTGTGGCTCCTTCCTCCCCACACCACCCTTCCTGTTTCATTGCTAGGAAACACTGGGAATCTCACTCTCCTTACCACAATGGCATCAGTGAAAGATCTTGGTTTGGTCCCACCGCAAGTAGTTTTTGCACTGTCTGCAGCCTTTCCCTTTCTGCCACCCCCTCAGCTTGTGCCTGTTTAGAGCAACCCTGTCCCCTGAAAGCCTCTCCTCCTCCTATGCCTGGCTGCTCACCCAAGCGAGGACTTTCCAGCTCCCTTCAGCAGACAACCTTTCAGAAGAGAACCGAATGGCACCCACTCAGCCCAGTCCTGCTCCACCCCTGCAAACCAGCCCGGCTGAAAGCAGTCCAACTTCTGCCTCCAGCTCTTGGTTTGGCTCCTCAGCAGGTGGCATTTTCCTCATCTATACCTACACATGGTTACCAAAATATCTTTTAACTCCCGCTGCTGCTGCTTCTAAATGAGAGGTGTAAAATCCTGGAGCCTCGTTTAAGCTTCCTTCTCTGCTTGAGCAGGTGTTTAGTCCAAGTCCTGGAACCCAAGCATCCACACCTAGAACGACGTGAGCATGGGCCGTGCTCACCTTATCACTGCTGGCTATGGTAGGCAGGCTGTGGGTCACCCTGAGAGTAGCCCTGGTGGGTCTCCTATCCTTATAAGGGGCCTGTGGGCAAGTCTGGAGCCCATTCCCCTACCAAAGCTGTGATATACACAGGCAGGATTGGGAGAGTGGAAAAGCACCCCACAGAGACACATTTCTAATAGTAGATGCATTTCTATCTGGGCAGGGCAGGGCAAGGTTCGTCCCTGAGAAACAAATGGGTGTGTCTTTCAAGACAGCTGCTACCCAGGAAGACGATTAACCCATGCAGTAGCCTCTCTAATCCCAGGCATCTCCTTCCTGAGCTTGGTGTGGGTCTGATGAAATGGTTCTGCAGCTCCCACACAGGACAGGCAAAAGTCCACACCTGCCACACTCTCTTCCAACCAGGCAGGGCCCAGTTTGTGTCCTGCCACTACACAGGTCTCACATTGCTCCTGTGAGAGCCTCCAGCCCCAGGGGACAGCCAACACAGCTAGCAGGGGCAGCAGCTTGGTTTTTCCCCCACAGCTGTCATGTACCCAGGGCTGAAATACACTGCAGTGCCAAAACTCATAGGACAATGTGGAGCAGAGGCAGGAGAGCAGCAGATCTCAGAGAGGTCATGCAGAGGCAGCTGCCCTAGTTCAAGGGCAAGAATCAGCAGTCTCACTGTTGCCCCAGCCTGTGACATCCACCTGGGAAGAGAGAAGGGTAGCTCTAAGTGTGCATCTGCTCTGACACAGCACTGAAGAGCAGTGCTTTCTCTATGAAGGTATACTGCTAGAAGAACAGGATGAGGGCCCTGTACTGGATACAGCAGAAGCAGCAGCCTCCAGGCTCTCTGCAGAGGACATGCAGAAATGTTGTTCTTCCCTTCCCCCAAACAGCAGATGACCTGCAGACCCAGCTGTCTACAGCCAGCTTCCCCACACTATTCAGCACAGCCAGGGACAAGGAACAGAGCCAGCACAAAGTGTCCCCACCCCTGGGACCTCTGCCAGGGCCCCCTGGACAGAGGGGCACTGCAGACTGGAGAGCTCCAGTATGCAGCCAACAGTTACACATGGAGCTGCTGGCTGGAGGACATCCTTTGAAGTGCCAGAAGTTTCACTTATCTGCCCTTCTGGTGCTCCCCAGCTGCACGATGGTGCTACGGACACTTTATACCTCCACTACACTAAACTATCTAGATGGGAAATGAAAGGCCCAAAGCAGCTTGTGCTGGACTCATGCTGGGCTGCTAGGAGCCTGGCAGAGGCAACTCAGAGCTGCCTGCTGCCTGTTCCAACAGCCTTGTACCTGCTCCAGGCAGCAAGGCACAGTTCGGCATTCCCACAGCCCAGACAGGGTGGCTCTTGCAGCCCGAGAAAGCAAGAGAATTAACCCCAGAGGCAGGACACCACCAGGCTCCTGGAACAGGACAGGGATTTTGCCAGAGGCAGAGAGGAATCTCTGAGGGCAGCCCAAACCAGCACTTGCTTTCTGCAAACCTCCCTAGCATGCACAGTGAAGAGAAAGAGCTGGACGAGAACCATATTTATTTCACTGACACAGAATTGC